GGTCCGTCATTCTACTTCCTGTCTCTGTGAACCTGACTATTCTAGTACTTCGTGTAAGTAAAACAATACAGTATTTTTCTTTTTATGTCAGACTTATTTCACACAGGATAATGTCTTTAAGGTTTATCCGTGTTGTGTAGTGTGTGTCAGAAATGAAAATTTCTTCTTAAGGCTAAATAATATCCCACTGTATTTATATACTACATTTTGTTTATTCATCCATGGGCATTTGGGTTGTTTTCACCTTTGGCTATAATGAATGATGCTGCTCTGAACCTTAGTGTACAAATATCTGTTAGAGTCCCTTCTTTCAGTTCTTTTGGGCATCTACACAGAAGCACAATTGCTGTATCATATGGTGATTCTATGTGTAATTTTTTAGCCCACTGTAATACGTTTTTGAATACTTATTTTTTTTTTCTTATGAAAGAAATATATTCAGGGGCGCCTGGGTGGCTCAGTCGTTAAGCGTCTGCCTTCGGCTCAGGTCATGATCCCAGGGTCCTGGGATCGAGCCCCGCATCGGGCTCCCTGCTCAGCGGGAAGCCTGCTTCTCCCTCTTCTACTCCCCCTGCTTGTGTTCCGTCTCTCGCTGTGTCTCTCTCTGTCAAATAAATAAATAAAATCTTTAAAAAAAAAAGAAAAATATTCAGAGTGATTAAAAGAAATGTAGGAAACAATGAAATGTATAAAGAAGAAAATAAAAATCACCCACAATCCAATTTCTCATGGATGCCATTAACATTTAACATTTGGTATTTTTGATTGTCTTATTTAATGTACATAAACATATTTGCAAAATTAGGCCTGAAGACTATATACAAATTTCTCTCTTGCTTTTTTAAACTCAGAATTGTACTATGAAAATTTTCCTAAGTCATAGAACAGCCTATGAAAATGCTTTTTAATAACTGCTTAATATGTATGCATGTAGTGTGTATCTAACATGGATGTCCAATAATAAGGAAGTGATGGGTTCATAGAGGGGAATATTTTCCAGTCACTCAAAATGATGTTTTCAAAGGCTATCTCCTGACATTAGAAAATACTCACAAAATGTAATGTTAGGTGAAAATAGGAGACAAAGCCATGTACATCTAATTCAGTTTGTACAGTGGTTCTCAGACAGATGGGAGCTTAGCCTAAGAGCAGGGTAAACTATTAGATTTTAGTAGAGGAGTGACATACCAGATGTGCATTTTGAAATATCACTCTTGGTGGTAGCTAAAAGTGGCAAAAGCAGATATAGGGATACTGTTTGGTTGGGAATCCAGTCTGGGGTGATGGAGGCTTAGAGTAGGATAGTAGTTGTAGATGTGATGAGAAATAGCAGCATTCCAGACCCAGCTTTGAGGAAAACAGTCCGTATTCATGTAGTGTGCAGGGAAATGGAGCTGCCAAGGATGATTCCTAAATGTTTGGTTTTTGTGACAGGGTGAGGAACCCTGATGGAGGGATAAAATTCAGGGGTATGGGAGATGAAAAACTCAGTTTGGAACATGTACTTTTGACATAGTGGAAAGATATTCCCAGTGGAGGTGTCAAAGAGGCTGTTGAATTGAAATCCCAATGTTATAAATGTGGATATGCCCCAAAGGGCTAAAAGTCCTCCAACATGCTAACAGTCGCCTTCTCTAAGTTATGAGCAATTTTTATTGTCTTTATTATAGTATTTTATATTTCATAAATTTTCTGTAATGATCATGTATTATTTTTATAATCAAATTTAAGTGTTGCTAGAATACATTCATCATGGCATTATTTATAGTAGTATAAAAATTGGAAACAACTTATATGTATAACAATTATAGAAGATTGGTAAAAAATAAGTAGAATGATCTTGAAAACCCTGTAGCCACCTTTAAAAAAAAAAGGTTTTCAGTGTTATTCAAAAAGGAAAAGTCTGTTTAAAAATAAATGAAAAATTTAAAAGTGAAGTCTACCATACTGACTTGAAACTAAGAGAATCTAGAATCTATTATAAACTGTAATATAAATCTATAGACTTGCATTATTAATAATTAATAATTATTTTATCCTCAGATCATACGTGAAAGAATGGTAGCCTGTTTGTCACAAGATATTTAGTTTGACATACCAGCTTTTAGTGTGGACATTTGAAAATATATTAAATCTTTGTAGTTTGCCAGATTCCTTTTCCTTTAAGGACCTTACAATTACTAGTCATGAATTTATCATACATTAAATTGGTTTTTTGAGATGATTATTTTTCTAAGGGGAGCATTCACTGCTCTAGTGTTTATTTTGTTTGCAGATAAAAGTGCTTAATTACATCTCCTACCTGCATTATTTGAAAAGATTAGAGTTGCCATGAATCTTGTCAGTAATGCTGAAATTATTTTAACTTGAAAAGATGCTTCAAATCTTGTGCAAAATGAAGCCCATTTGCTTACCACTCCATCCCAGTGTTCTAAATGAATTAATTTTATGAAGAAAAAAGACTAGTTCTTCCCAAAGGTCACTGAGAATTTGTTTTCCTTTTTTCACTTTTAAATTAACAGATTAGAATACAATTTATAGTACTTTAGTGTACAAGTAGAATCACTCTGTCTCCACATTAAAAAAAAAACTTAAAAGGCAACACTGCTGCTTTGGATTGACAGAAATTTACTTTGTAGTCTTCAGCTCAGGTTAATCATATGTTAATAATACAGCATAAACCAAAGGACTTTTTTTTTTTTTAAGATTTTATTTATTTATTTGACAGAGAGACAGCGAGAGAGGGAATACAAACAGGGGGAGTGGGAGAGGGAGAAACAGGCTCACCGCTGAGCAGGGAGCCGGACTCAGGGCTCGATCCCTGGACTCCGGGATCATGACCTGAGCCAAAGGCAGACGCCTAAGCCACCCAGGCGCCCCCCAAAGGCCTTTTTTTCTAATAAAACTCAAAATAAATATAATACAAACGAGATTGTAGCTTCAGGCAAAGTAAAATCAAGCATGGTTATAATTTCTAGAAATTAACAGTATGATTATCTTCTATAAGCATATCCCTGCACCATTAATAAAGCATTTCCTTGTGCTTTACAATTGCATATGAGCTGAATTTACCAAAGTAAAATTTAACAGAGAAATATTCATTCCTTTAGTTGGCTCCCAAACACACTCACACATTTAGAAGATGGGCAAGACATGATTTAACAGCAATACTTTCACAAGCACCTGGGGGGATTTTAATTGATTATTAGCTCAAATTGGGAAAATTTTTACTTAGAATACAGAAGACCTTTCTAATGACTAAACCCATTAAAAATAGAATTGACTACCTTCGGGGAAGGTATTGAGTTCCTATCCCTGGAGATTTTTAAGAAGGACCAGACATCTGCCTGCTAGGGATTTTGTAAAGTTGGACCATAAACTTCTAAGGGTGTTTCCAACTCTGAATATGCCAGTTAGATTATTTCTTCTAGAGAGTGATGTATGAAGTATTTCTATTACACGCAATGGTTTAACTGGTGTTATCTTTCTTGCCACTTTTTGAGGTAAACTAGACATACAGAAAAGTGAACATATCACAAATGTACATAGCTTGATGAATTTTCACAACCTGAACCAGTCCCTAGAGGGAGGAACAACATTACTAGCACCCCTGAAGCTCCACCCTGGTGCCCACTCCCGTCATTACTTCCCCCCATTACTTCCCTCACTCCCAAGTGGTCACTACTCACTCTTAGAAGCTTGGTGCTGAGTTGCTGGGCTTTGTACTTTATATACCTGGGATCATTCTCTTTTGCATCTGGCTTCTTCCAACGTGATGTTTTGAAGATTCATTCGTGTCGTTGCAGGCCGAGCATTCATTTCCTTGCCATGTAGTGTTCCATTATGAGACTATATCAAAATTTACTTATCGTTAATGGCGTTTGGGTAGTTTCCAGCTTGGGACTTTTACAAAGAGTGTTGTTAAGAACGTTCTAGTACATGTCTTTCCGTGGACATCATGCACATTTCTGTTGGGGATATGTAGCTAGGGGGTAGAATTGCTTTGCCACAGAATGTACACACGCTCAGCTTTAGTACGGCCAAACAGGTGGCCAAAATGTTTGTCTTCAGGCCCAATTTTAATAGGGTCCTACCATATGAGAAATGTTAGTTTTTCCGAAATTCCATAAGCTTTGGTAAAAAAAAAAAAAAAAATCTTACTTGAGGTACTTGATAACTTTCTATTTTGTACTATATTTTTGCATACCTTATCTCCCTTTCTAGGTTATAAACTCCTTGAAGGCATTGTTTTATTTGTCTTTACATTTCCCAAAGTACTTTGCATAGAGTAGACTCTAAATTTATTAGGTTTATGTGAATGGATGAGGAAATGAGGAAAATTATATGTAGTATTAATTTCAAGGATGTTTATAAATTGCAAAAATAAAAATAGCATACCAGATAAACTACAGGGGTGATCGTGAACAGAATACATTTATTAATGGTAGATTTTCCTGGATTCTATAAAATTTTACATGCGATTATATGGGAGAATATGAAGTTGAATTGTGTATTTTCAACTATTAGACTTAAATCCTGGTGTTAGCTCCCACATAGAAGCCTGTGAATGTTGTGAAACAGGGAGGTAAATTTGTTAGCCATGAGCTTGGAGGTGAATGGGAGGGTGTGGTGAGGGAGTATGAGAGGGAAGGCGGCGGTAGCAGTCGTGACGGCTCTGGAACTCCAGTTTGGGTCACAGCTTTGTCCCTTCCCCTCGGTGCTTCTGCGACTGCAAAAAGTAATGATTTCCCTCTATCATGGGGAAGGCCAGTAAGAGTTTTATGAGCCAAATGGAATTTTAGTGGCTTCTTAATTTAGCATTACCACTGTTTTAACCTGCTAAGTTAGGATATTAGGGATTTATGGGTGGTTTTCCCCTTAATGCTTTTTTCCACATTCCAAATTTCATTCAGTAAATACATACTACTTTTAAAATCAGAAAATATTTTTAAAATAATTTATGTTGCAAAAATTGCTACCTTGCTTATTTTTTATTTCAGTCTTGGCCTGCCTATGAGGATATCTATAAAAAAATGATTGAAATTGCCAAATTCTTAGATTTGCCACGTTTTCCAGACATAACTGAAGACTGCTATCTTCATCCAAACATCTTGTGTATGAAATACTTGATGGAAGTCAATCTCCCTGGTAAGTGTAGTGTATGTGGTGAGGGAACTTTTATAGAATTGTAAAATCACAATGAGCAAAATATAGAATTCCTCTTAGATCACAGACAGTTAGAGCCACCTGACAGGGTCCATCGTAACATGAAGCTTAATTTCAGAATCCTTTCTTAAAATATTTCAGGCTACTTAAAAAGGTTAAAAGGACATTGTTCAGAAATAAAGAATTCTGTTTTGATGTGAGGGATATGCTTGGTTTTTACAGTAAGTTTGCTGAGTGCAATTAAAGTAAAAAATGTTTCAATATGTGTTATTAATGAGCTGGATGCCCCCTTCTGAAAAAAAGGCAGTGCTTGGTCATTTGTAGGATCACAGTGAACTCTTTAAGGCAATGAAACACAGAATGTGAAGAGAGTCTCACTAGACCTTGTTCACAATATACCAAAACGCAGGTAACCCAATGGAATCTGCCAATGGAACCCATTCCTGAATTTCTTGCAAAACTAGAAATGTGAGAAATTCAGGACTCATATTCTTAAGAGAAATACAAACATGGTGTGGTTAGCCTATTGCTTTAGCAATATAAAAAATGTGATTGGATATATTTTTAATAGGGAAGGAAAATGTATATGTTAATGAAGAAAGCAATATACAAAACTGTATATATATGTATAGTGTAATTCCAATGATAAACATAAATATGTAATAACATATATATACACACACATATATACATATACACACACACAAATCTAGTAGTAGGAAATAGAAGGAACACAAGGGATTACCAAAATGTAACTGACACAGGCTGGCTCCTGGCAAGTGTCTGGTTCCTGTGCTTGCTATTGGATGGAGAGTGGGAATAGAGTCCACAGGACATGGTGACTGAATGCATGTAGGAAATGCAACTTAATTCAGTACAATTTATTATGCTCTTATAAATACTAGCTGTTCACTTACGATTAATTAAAATAGAATATTGTGCATCTTGGGTACTTAGATTAGTGAGTAAAGAAATTCGCTTAGTAATTTAGAGTTTTCAAAGTATATTCACTATCTTATTTCATCCCACAACCCATTTTACAAATGAAGAAACTGAGGTTAAGTGACTAACGCAGAGTCACAAAGCTAATGATTGGAAAGCCTAAATATGTAGGCCCTAGCTAGGCTTTCTGGTTCCAAGTGCCACATTATTCAGCCTTGACTAATAGATGGAGGCCAAGCTGACCATATAATTTCTTTAGGAAAGCAGTACATCAAGTTTAATATACACGGAGGCTTCTAGTGTGCTAGCCAGGGTGCCAGCCAGCGAGTTAGTGTACATTCCTAGAGAAGCTCTTGGTCTTACAGGAGATTTCGTTTCAAGCAAGTGCAAATTGTTGTAGAAACACAGACAAGAGAGTTGTATGAAATGATAGAAAACTAGCGTGTAACTGTGTGTCAGGTACCAGAATGTGTCCTACACATAGTAGATGTTTTAGGAAGTCCAAACAGGAAAAGAGAGACCTTGCCAGGATTCTACCATTAGTGTTTCTATACAGATATCATTTTTTGGTTTATTTTATTCAGAAAATGTGTGTCCCTCGGTTCTAGCATAGTACCATGTTTTAAGATGATAAAGCTTATCTTACAGAGGTACACATTAGTATGGTCTAGTTAGGCACAGAATTTAATTCACATTTTACTGTTTTTGTTCTTCAACAGATGAAATGAATGATTTAACCTGCCAAGTGGTAAAAATGACTGGAATAGGAGAAGTGGATTTTCTGACATTTGATCCCATAGCTAAAATGGCAAAAACAGTTAAATATGATGTGCAAGCTGTCGCTGTCATTGTAGTAGTATTGAAACTGCTCTTTTTATTGGATGACAATTTAGAATGGTAAGTGTATGTCAGTTTTATGAGGAAAAAATTACACTGTTTTGTTTTTACCTAATTATTCAGAGTAAAGGAATCCTTATATTATCTCAAGAGAAAATAGAGCCTCTCAGTTGTAGAACACTGACTGGTAGCAACAATTACTTCTTACATGAATTTTGACTCAGCTAGTGTCAGAGAGTTAATTCTACCTTAGTAAGTTGTTTGTCTCATGTTTTATTCCTATTTTTTAAGTACATACTCATGTTCTCATTGCTTCACTGATTCCCAACTTTAAATCGTCATACACAAATCCTAAAGAATCTTGTAGCAGTTGCCTAAAGGCATCTTTCTGTATGCCTTTAGGCTCCTGGCACTATGTGACTTCAAAGATTATTGTGGAAAGTAAATGAAACTTAAAGTGTCACTCCTCCCAAATGCCAACAAACAATGGCAGTATGTATAGTGATTGCTTCTCCATTAAAAGTTAGCATCAGTTTCAAGTACTATTCTATACTTTTCTTTCAGAAGAATTCAAAATTTAACTGTCTTCAAATAAGTGACTTCCAAAAAATTGACTTGCTTTTTGGTTTTTCCAGGACTTTGTCTAATATTGCTGAGAAATACAATGAAAAGAACAAAGAAGGTACTTAATTTTTTATCATTCAAATTCAAAGTCATGGGCACCTGGGTGGCTCAGTTGGTTGGGCGACTGCCTTCAGCTCAGGTCATGATCCCAGGGTCCTGGGATCGAGTCCCGCATCGGGCTCCCTGCTCTGCGGGGAGCCTGCTTCTCCCTCTCCCACTCCCCCGCTTGTGTTCCCTCTCTCGCTGTGTCTCTCTCTGTCAAA